CCGACCTGCACGAACCCTCCCACAGCCAGGAGTTTGGGGCATGAGGGTATATGGGTTTAGGATTTAGGGTTCAGGGTTTAGGGGTTTAGGCGTTTAGGGGTTTAGGGGCATGAGGGTATAATTGTCCTAGGCAGTAGTAGGGAGACCCCTTAAAGGGGACCCTTTTTCACCCTACTTTTGGCTCTCTTAACAGTCAGCGGTCCTTTTTCTGCATTCAGCCAAATTAACGCCCGCTCAGAGTTGCTAGCCCGCTCAACAACTTGGGCAAGCCAGTTCTCTTGTGTCAGATTGCGCCATGAATGTTTCGTAGAACGCACATGCTAGCTCGCTCCGCCCATGCTAGCCTGCTAACTAGTTCGCACATTTTCGAATAATTGTGCAGGCTAGGTGCCGTGTCACGAGGGTCCCCCTAATCCTAGCTCCTAGAACAAGGTCGGGACAGTTAAATATAGTCCCCACACCTTAAACCCAACTGTAAATGAATATACCCCCACAACCCTGCTCTACTGACTAAACCCTAAACCCTAAACCCTAATGGCTCAAGGCTCAAGATCTCAAGGCTCAGGGCTCCGTAGTCCTCGTAGTGGCCCTCTCCCCTCCCCGTGCCTCGTAGCAACCATGACAGAGACCCCCGTTCCGGTGTCCGACGACGACTTGGCAGAGCAGAGCGGCAGCCCGAAAGTTGCCAGGACAGATGGAGGGGCTCCCATGCGCCGAAAGGACAGGGGGGAAGCGATCACCTTGGGAGATTTGCAGTCGCTCCTGCAGCAGCAGAGCGATACGATCGCGAAGACCCAAGCCCGCGAGATCAGGGGGGCGGTGGCTGAGCTCCGAGAGGCCACCATGAACGAGTTCAGGGGGATCAAAGTGGAGATGAATCGACATGCTGATTACATCTCGCAACTCCGGGATCAGAGTGAGAAGCTCGAAGCAAGGGTGCTAGCTTTGGAGAACCGCAAGGAGGAAGCCAGTACTTACCTAAGCTCGGCGGCTGGCGAAGGGCACCAGAAAAACCTAGTGATCCTCGGGGGGTGGGACGCAGACACACATCGTGACGATCTTCTCCCAGAACTCCGTGAACTCCTGGCTAAGATCGGGGTGCTCGAGCGGTTCCAGGATATCTTCACGACTGGTCCGCGGAGAGGGCACGCCATGGGAGTGGTCAAATGGCCGCAGGGGCAAGGCGAGGCTGACCTGAAAAGAGACCTCATCCGACTTGTTCAAGAAATCCGGTCTGCGGCTATGTCATCTAAATCCATGCCGAGTGGAAAGATGCTTTGGGCCGCCCTGAGTAAGACGAGACTGGAGAGGCTTCGAGCGGGGCATGCAGGCAAAACCAAGCGATTAATCCTCGAGGCCAACCAGTCCGAGAAGCACGCCTTGGATGTCGAATGGGGTGCTGGGTCGGTGTGGATGCGAGGGCAACTCATCGCCAGCGCGACAAGAGCACCGCCAAGGGGGGCCACGACTATGAAGGGTAAGGCACCAGGTGCTTGGATCGACATTCCTCATATCGCCAGGGCGTTGGGCATGGCCGGAGACGCCCTAGGAGAGCGGTGGGAGAGCCTGATCTCAGAGTGACATGAACAGGATGGTTTGGTTGAATTCGAAAACGAGTGTATACCATCGATCCTTGGAGTGCCCCACCTACATCGCCAGGCAGCGCGGTGTGGTTCGCAACATAGTCGAGTCGCTCGGGGGCTTGAGGGGTCGGTGGGAGATGCATGTGAGAGCACTGTTCAGAACAGCTGCCCCGAAGGGGTCCAAGCTGGAAGTGGTGAAATTTCCTTTGTGTCATGGAACATTGGCGGCAAGATGGTCGAAACGGCTATCGCGGCCATAAAGTACAGTTCGGAAAGCCAGTCTAGTGCGGCGATTGTCGCCCTCCAGGAACTACCTAGAACAGCACCAGGGTGGCAGACCTCAACCCACGATGGAAGGAGCCTGGTCCAGTTCAGAGATGAGGACCAGTGGCGAGGGAACGGGATCATGTTTTCTCCCTCGGAGTACAAGTGCCTCCGAAGGAAGGCTAACAGCATCGGAGTGTGGCTGCGGCTCCGAAGAGTGTCGACAGGGGCCCAGCTGTGGGTATGCTCGGCCAGACTGAGCACAGGAGTTGCAGATGCTGTAACTGCTGAGGAGGCGCATGACATTCTGCAACTTCGCCCGCCAACCTCTCTACCCAGTGTCGTGCTTGCAGACTTCAACACGCCTCTCCGGTGGACTCGGTCTGCAGGGGCGCACGGACAGATGCTGCCAACGACAGGCAGAGCAGACTATCTGTTATCGGAACTGGAGAGAAGGAGATACCAGCTGCATGCGCCCGGGGAGGGACAATGGGAGACCCCCACGAGTCGCCTGCGACGCAGAGGGGTGAGGGGGAAGCAGATTGATGGAGTGGCAACCTGTGGCACCAGGCGAGCTGCAGTCCACATCGAGGAGGGGTCGTTCAGGCAGATAGGTGGTGACCATGACCGGGTCCATGCAACCCTTGACCTCGGACCCCGACCCCTGCCAGCCCTACAAAGCACGACCAGACCCAGGTGTGTGACAGGTGAGATTCCCCCTCAGGTGTGTCTTAACCAGAAGAAGATGGAGCAGCTGGCTGAGCAAGTCACCCAGCCGAGACGTGGCCAGCGATACCGAGACCCGGGACCGGTGAAGGCGGCATTCAGGCGAGCCAGAATTCACGGGTCGGAGCGGGCATGGAAGGATGCTCAGGCGGCCCGCAGAAAAGCTCGGGATGAATGGATGCAGGCCAAGGTCCTTCGTGCCAGCCAGGGTGGTTGGAAGGACATGAAGGATCTCAAGCAGAACACAGGCTCGGAGTGGGCAGTGCACCTCACAGAGGAGGCTTATGCCCAAGGAAGAGACCCCCTGATCTGGACCACAGAGCACTTTGCGAAGCTGTTCAGGGAAGCAACGGAGAGCGAGAGGCCAGTAGAGTGGGGGCAGAATATGAGCAACGGGGTCCCCTTCCAGCTGGAAGAACTACGAGAGGTAGTAGGCAAAGGGGCCAATGGCAAAGCTGTTGGCCTTGACCTCACCTCGTACGAGCTGATCAAGGAGCTGTGTAAGGACCCCGTCTCAGAACAGTCCTTCCTGGTGTGGATGGAATCCATCCGCATGGGTGCACCCATACCGGACCAGTGGCTCACGACAATCATCACCTTGCTCCCGAAGGTCCCTAAGCCTGAGTCTCCGTCGGACCTGAGGCCGATAAGCCTCAGTTCGGCGGTAAGTAAGGTGTACGGAGGCCTCCTACTGAGTCGGACCAGGCGTGCACTTCAGCCGAAAGGCCCAGAGCAGTGCGCTCTGGGAGGGCGCCAGACGGCCGACTATTTGTTCGCAGTGATGAAGACGTTCTCCCTGGAAACCGAGTGGCGCTTCGGACTGAGCTGGCTAAAACTCGATATCCATAAAGCCTACGACTCCATACACAGATGGAAAGTCCTTGAGTACTTGAGAAACAACCTACCCCCACATATGTGGCGAGAGTTCGAGGCATGGAAGCAGTTGCTAGAACCGGGCAAGGCGCAAGTGAGAAGCCCGTGGGGGGCCACTCACGTCATGCAGACGAGGGGGATTCGACAAGGCTCGGTGGAGAGTCCATTCATTTTCGCTGTAGCGATGGAGTGTGCTCTGCATGGCGCCCAAAGTCACCAGGAGTGGCCGAAAGAGATGGGAGGGGCCCCAGACATGACGCTGTCCTCCCTGCTCTATATGGATGACAGCATTCTGTGGGACAGTAACAGAGAGTCGCTGGAGAAGAAATTCGCCATCCTGAGCAGGGAGCTCCGGACGTGGGGCTTGACGGTCAACCCGAAGAAGACAGTGTTCTACTGCTCCCCACATGCCACCTGCCCCCCCCAGATCCGGTTAGATGGTGTGTTGGTTCCGTCCTCAGAGTCCTTAGACGTCATGGGGGTGAGACTGGCTGTCCCGTTCAAGCCAGCGTCGGTCATGGACACAGGATTGGCTAAAGCACGAAAGAAGTATTTCGCCAGCCGAGATGTCCTGGAGTGCCGAGGACCCATCCGGAAGAGGCTTCAAGTCTTTAGGGCAGCGGTTGGAGGAGCGGCTCTATGGTATGCTGCGGCGGCAACGCCTAACTATCAGGCGATGGGAGCCCTGAACACCATGCAACTCGAGATGGTGTCTAGGATGGCAGGACACAAGCGAAGGCCGACTGAGAGCTGGCTGGACTTCAGGATGCGAAGCCTCCGTGCAGCCCGCCAAATCCTCCACAATGCAGGCGTGGAGCGGTGGAGCACGACGTGGCTTAGGAGACACTGGCAGTACAGAGGGCACATAGCCAGAGCGGTAGAGAGAGACCAGCCCCCCGCCAGCACAATCATGGACCGATACCGCACTCTCTCCTAATGGCGGAGGCAACAAGCACAAAGGGAAGGGGCTAGACACCCGGCCTCCTTCTACCCACACCTGTCCAATGAGGAAGTGCGACTCAATCGAGCAGCCGGAGTAGTAGATTGGCGCTCGCTTGCCTCTAACCCAGTGGAGTGGAAGAAGAGAGAGGCCTCGTGGGTGGAGCAGAACGATATCGCCTGGTGCACCGGGAGGCAGCTCTCGCTTGCGGGGTGAACCAGCCAAGGTACGAGGACATGGAGGAGGGGGCCCAGTGAACCCATGACTAAGGTCGGTGGATGAGAACCCCCCCTTCCCCTGGAACCCCTCACCTGTCACCCGCCAGTATCGTGCCCCGAACCACACTACAAACATGACACAACCTACACCGAACATACAGAGCGGAATGATGCAACCTATTTCAACCCAGTCGAACGTGAACGCCAGTGTGTCTTCATTATGCAGTGCACATCATGTTCCTTCTCATGGGCAAGCTGACAATGTGACGTGAGTCCATGTTTGCGAGTCGCTCGTGATGCAGCTCTTTTGCTTGATCTGAGTTTTTCGACTCTGATAGCTTGTTAGGGCAGGCAGCTGAGTGGAGCTTAGCGTAAGCCCTGCGCCCCGATGACGGCATGGATGTGGCTAGCAACGACTGTGCTGCCCGTGATGGCCAGCGTAGGCGCCTCATGGCCCATTCAGAGACCTCAAATGCAAGGGGCGCCGGCGTTCCACCAAGATGAAGAGTATGAAAGAAGTTGGCCTGCGGGGCCGGTGGAGGGAGGCGGTGAGCTCCGAGAGCACGATCATGGACTATCCCCCCGAGGTCGGCGGGAGCAGTACCTACCGGAGCCCCTGAACTACGAGATCAGCCGCAAGGTGAAGGCATCGCGAGAGCAGTACCTACCGAAGCCCCTGAATTACGCGATTAACCACAAGATGAAGGCGCTGAACCCGACAGAGCACTGGGCCCAAGAACACAACCTAGGAGAGGAACTCGGCCGGCCAACGGAGGCCCCCACAGAGAGGTTCAAACGACCGCGCAGTGAGCAAGGACCCAGGAGCGGGTCTGCGCTCGAGCCCGTGGTGGTTGCAGCAGCCCTCCGGCCTCAAGCCCGACAGCGCAGGGGGTGATGACGGATGACACCAGCAGCTTCCAGCAACTGTACCTTGTGGTTGCCCTGGCAAAAGCGAACAGTGTCATGGGGTTTGACAGGCCGTGGCCCATCGACACAGAGCCGGTGTGGTGGCAGAACCTCCTCGAGGAAGGCTTTGAGATGCAGAGAACGGGCTTCTGCATGTGGACATTGGCGGACAGAGTGGAAGAACAAGCCAGGGCCAGGATGGACGAGCGCTACAGCATAGGCATTGCAAACTGGATAGACGGGTGGAGAATGAGGTGGGATGAAGAGTCCCAAGTGGGCAGAGCAGTGCGGTGGGGGCCGATCAACGAACAGGAGTACGAGGAATATGTTTTGCATGCGGAGAACGTCCTTCGCAAGAAATGGCTGGAGCACACCTTCCCAGTTGCATGCAACAACTGGGCCTTGGAGAGATACTTCGCCGAGTTTGGGTTGCATGGCACGCCCGACGGCGAGCACCGGAGAGCCCGAGAAGAGGAAGAGGAGGCGAGAAACACCCGCCTGTCTCGGAGCAGGACGCCGCAAAGAAGGGGCCAGCCATCGGCCAGCAGCTCGCGAGACGCGACCCGCGGGCTCCTCAACCGGAGAAACATGGAGGAGACAGAAGAAATGGCACTCGTGGTGAAGAAGTTCCTCCTGAAGAAGAAGGATGCCAAGAGCTTTAGGCGCTTGGTGGACAACCCGGAGGCTTGGAGATCAGGCCCAGGGGTGACAGTGACAACGTCCACTAGGCACCTACGCCCAAGGGGAAGGCCTGGGAGCAGAGAGTGTGATGAAAGCAGTGGATCCGCCCGAGGGGGACCGAGGGAGTCGCGGCCACCGTGGGAGAGGGCTACGAGCAGCGAACAGAGACCGAGGCCGGAAGCAGAAGACAGGGCGTCTGGCAGTGCGGGAACTGCGGGGCGGACAGGAGAGCCAGAACCTGATGAAGAACTCGACGAACTCGGAGCGTCCTTTCTATGGAGGACGATGCTCAGGCTGGACACCGACTCCGACTTTGAGGACGAGACGCCAATGCACATGCCCGGCTTCCTCAATGAGCCGACCTACAGCACAGTGTATGAAACCTTGCAGGACAAGACGCCTGCAGAGTTCCAGACCATGGCCGCCGCCTTGTCAAACTTCGTGGGCCTGGTACATAGCGATTTACAAGCAATTGTGGCCAGGGTAGGACATGAAAGAGGGCTCCCTGTGAGTGGCCCCACAGAGGACACAGAAGAAGGGACAGAAGCTCGGAGCACTGCGGAGGAGGCTGACACCAGCACGGGTGCGGCATGCGCCCCGAGCACGGAGCCGCAAGAAATAGAGGCTGAGGAGATTGAGGTAGAGATCGACGAGGACGAGGAGACCCTACTAATGCAGACACAGGCGGAGGCAAAGGCGCGGGCCAGTGGCACCCCGAAAAACGAGGCACACCGCCGCCTACTCCAGCTAAGGGATTGGTTGGAGGCAAGATGGGCGGAGGGGCACCATGTGGATGATATGGTGCAGGCGGCAATGGACCACTCCCAGTCGTTGCTCCGTGGATCCTCTGATTGTGCAAGAGGGCGCGAGTGGTTTGGTTTAGTACAGGTGGTGGTTCCCCCGATCGCTCACCGCGGCCAAGGCAAGGTGCAATGGCAGTGGCTGACGCCGTGCCAACGGGAATGGGTGCAAGATGTCGGCAACGAGATCCTCCAGCTGATCCAGGCAGAAAAAGAGGAGGAAAGGGCGAGCCTGATGCAGCGAACCCTGACCAAGATGACGAAGGAATCCTCAGCCAACCCGCCAATCGCTGCCAACCTGCATGCTGAACTACAACGAATGCCAGAGCAGTTTGCACAGAAGGCTGCCAGAGAGTTGTTGTCGAGGCTGAGGGCAGCTAGCATGACAGGGGCGGACTGGGGGCAGATCGAGGCAGTGTTGGTTGCACACTCTCTGATTGAAGTTGATGAAGCCAGCGGCCCGACGTGTGCCCTCAACCTGCGAGAGTGGACCAACCAGTGGTACCAAGAAGTCCTCTCCCGAAGGCCGGCTAGCGGAAATGGTGCCTCGTCGTCTCACGAAGCTGTACCTGTGCAGCCACAAGCGGAAGCAGGCCAAGACCCCGAGGTGGAGGCCAGAGCCAGCGAGGAAGAAGCACAGGCCAGAGCTGACGAAGAACTGTACAAGTGGCATGTGCGGAGCGCTGCGAGAGAGGCGCGGAGGGAGGACCGAGCCGCGGTCCTTGCCCATATGGGCTGGAGCGTGACGAGGACCAGGCGCCAGTGGATGGATGTGGTCCTTCACAATGGGCGTGAAGAACACAAAATTACGGTCCCGGTGCAAGACAAGGAAACCCTCAAGCTGCAGATCACCCCCTACGAGACGGTTGGTGTGGAGTACAGGTACCAGGGAGTGCTACAAGACCCTGAGGTTGCTCGCCGGCAACTTCAAAACAACATGGAGGAGCAATACAAGCAAGAAGTTGAGCGAGAAGAAAGCAGTGCTAAAAGGAGACGTGGGTTCAATACCGAGGACCCGGACATCCAACCCCACTACCACATGTGGGAGCAGGGACAGCTGACTTGGCGGGAGCTTGTAGACCGAGTTGGCGAAGATGCTGCCTCATTCATAAAGGCGGCGGCGGAGGTCGACTTGAAGGACTTGGAAACGCAAGTCGAGGTGGCCCCCACGCAGCTCTATGAGGCAGAAGGACACGGGCACCATGCAGCGGGGGGAAACCCGGACGAAGCAGAGACTCTATTATTGGAAGGGCAGTGGGGTGAGTCAGACGCCAGCACCGTGGAGATGGATGGAGCGGGTGACGTGGCTGAGTCGCGTGAAAGGGGTAGGGACATGCCTGCGCCGAGAGAGTAGAGCTGCAGAGTCGAAGTGTGCAAGGGCAGCATGTGCTTAGCTTAGCTTAATCCTGTGTTGCAGTTGTTCGAGAAGTCGAGTGTTGTGTGCCCTTGACACTCATGTGACACGAAATGTTGCGATGAGCTGTGTCGCCGCGAGCAGCCCAGTGTACAGACAGACTATCCCATGGGGTGAGCGAAGTTTAGGGGTGTTGTCGTAGGTTAGTACTGGTGAGTGAGTGGTTACTCAGTTGCATCATAGGCAGGTGGGAGGGACTGTGGGCGTGCTGGCAGTGCGATGGTTTGTGCAGCAACCTGAAGTGGATTGTGGATAGTGGGCTATTCTGTGTAGGAGTTCTACATTGTGTGCGACTTTGAAGTGGGGGCTCAGGTTGTTGATGTCGTTCGGAGCAGGCAGCCTCTGGCCACGAGTTTCTGTACTACATTCTCTGATATCACTGTGCTGTGGTAAGTAGCTGTTGTGGGTTGTGTAGCAATGTTATGTTGTGAAAGAGCTGAAGAGGTGGCTTCTGCTTCCCCGTGCCTCAGCCAGCTTGGCATTTCAGACACCTTCGGGCAGATGGAAAAGGGGGATAAAAAAAAAAAACCCTAAACCCTATGGGGTAGGCCCCAAATATTGAATCCTGAGGGTATGGGGCCTGATAGGATCTGAGAAGAGTCTAGACCGTCTTATATGGGCTAGTAGAGTTTATACTAAGCCCTAAACCCTAAATCCTTAACCCTACACCGTGTTATCATGGGCTGATACTGTTTATAGAGGTTCTCTAAACCCTAAACCCCTAAACCCCTAAACTAAACCCTAAACCCTAAACCCTAACAGGGTTCCTTCCAGGGTTGCTTGAAGGGTTACGAGGCTTGTGTACGGTTTAGGGCTGCAGGGCTTGAGGGATCCAAGATCCTGAGTTGAGGGCTCCAGAAGTTTAGAGTGTAGGTTTAGGGTTTAGGGCCTTGGGGGGTATAGGGCTTAGGGGTTTAGGGTTTAGGGGTTAGGTTTAGTGTTCAGGGCTTTGGGGTTTAGGGGTTTAGGGTTTAGGGTTCAGGCCGTAGGCAGATTCAAGTTTAGGGTTTTGAGATTGTGGGGGATTCCAGTTTCATAGCCTCTGCAGGCTTTTGTTGGTCGTCGGTACAGCATTTTTAGGGGTTTAGGGTTTAGGGTAGTTGTTACGGGAGGAAGAGGGGATTTCCGAGTCACAGGACCATGAGCGCAGTGTGCTGATGGCCAACCTTGTGTGCTTCGGCTGGTGATATACAGAAGCCTACAGAATTACGAATGCTACTTTAGGGCTACGTTCCTATCGTTGTTACAAACCCTACTTTAGTTATTGAGCCCCCTATTTTAAGTCTCAACGTCTCAAGGTTTGCGAAGTGGGAGCTTCCTAAACTCCCCTAAAGCCTAAACCCTAAAGCCTAAACCCTAAACCCTAAAGCCTATGTCAGAAAACCCGATACAAGAAGCAGACCCGAGATGCCAGGAACTCCGCATTGTAAGTACCCTGAGCCAAGGTCAGTAGCCCCGGTTTGATGACGCCCCGAAATGTTGAAGAACCTGCAACCCATCCTCCTAAACCCTAAAGCCCTAAACCCCAAACCCTAAACACCTTCTCCAATAGAATCCCTTCATAGCCCGTGCGTGATCTACTAGAAGATGCCGAAAACACCCCCCCAAAAGGCCCTGTTCTAGCTGTCAGACTCAGGGGGGGGATATTTACTGTTTTGGGGCTTGGAGAGTTTAGGAGTTCCGGGTTAAGGGTTGTAGGCTTTTTAGGTTTGAGGATTTAGGGCTTTGGGTTCAAGGTTTAGGCGTTTAGGGGTTTAGGGTTGTAGGCTTTTTAGATTTGAGAATTTAGGGCTTTGGATTCAGGGTTTAGGCGTTTAGGGTTTAGTCTTTAGAAGTTGTAGGTTTGAGGATTTAGGGCTTTGGGTTCAGGGTTTAGGCGTTTAGGGGTTTAGGGTTGTAGGCTTTTTGGATTTGAGGATTTAGGGCTTTGGGTTCAGGGTTTAGGCGTTCAGGGTTTAGGGTTACGGGGCCTCCTGGGGCTGCGAGGACGTCGGGTTTCGGCAATGCCAGGGTTAAGGTTCTGAGGCCGTAGGTGCCCGAAATTGGGTTCAGGGTGGAGGGCTTAGAGTCTTCAGGATTCTTGGGCCTACCCATAGGCCCCTAAGGAGTTCCTTTTTGGGATTACCTTATAGGATTCTAAATATAAACCACAAGAAGGGAACTACTTAGGGGCCTATGGGTAGAGTCTATAGACCATCAACTCACCTTACGACGCGTCTACCGGGCGAAAGATCGGAGTCGTAAATTAAGATCCTCCTCTTGTTGGATGCCATGGCTCGGGCTTTGGCTGTAGGCTGCTGTCGGGTGCTAGCTGTAGTAAGGATGACCGGACACGGTTTTTCTCCCTGAGCCGAAAAACAACGCTGAGAGCTCAAACAAATCATAAGGCCCCCGACGAAAGTGGCTTCGGAGGGCTGCAAAGGGGCCACCGTCCGTGAATTCCTCCTGCTTGGAATCGAACTCGACTCTGATTCTTATACATTCCTCGTGTACCCGGCGGCCTCCTGGTGCCTATGTTGCTGGGATCCGAGAGCCCATGGAGTCCGGGACCCGGAGATGCACTGCTTCCAGGCGTGCCCAGAAAGACTTCGCCTAGATTGCGGAATCCAAGCCCTTGCGAGTGACAGTCCTAATGAAGGAGTATTCCGGGTTTAGGGTTTAGGGTTTAGGGATGTTTTGCTTCTACTGGCTCAAAGTCAAAGGCCTCCGTAAAGCCTTGTAAGACCCCCAAATTTCAAGAAGCGTCAGGTGCTTCCACACTCTACTCCAGCAGCGTGGCCGCCTGGGTGGTTCCTTCTCGCCAGGAGCGGGTCGTGCACAAAACCGATAGCCCGTAAACCCCAAGCTGCTTCTCCTAGGTGGTATTAGGGAGACCCCTTAAAGGGGACCCTGCTTAACCCTTCTGGTGGCCTTCTTTTAAAAGGGACCTTATTCAGAGGGTCTACACCCCCAAGAGTCCCCCTAATCCTAACTGGCAGTTGCAGGGTTCGGATCGAAGAAGTTGGCCTAAGACCCTCCCACCACCCTTCATTGTGAAGCCGATCCACCGATTATCCACCTGTCAATGCGGAGATATGAGACCTCTTGTTCAAGGGCTCATGGACTCAAGAGTTTTGGGTTTCAGCCGCAAGACATCCGAAACAGGCACCGGCCACGATGGACGCCTTTGCTTGCTCTGTCGATCTTACAACCCAAATGATGCAGAAATATGTGTTCAAACTATTTAATGGCTCTCATGCTAAATAAACCCTTCTAGATCCCTTTCAACAGGGCGCCCTCTTCTGATCATTGAGGCCCCCTTTTATTTCTATTTCTGGATTCTACAAGCTCTAGGTCGCCCCCCTCCCCCCCCCCAAAGCCTTCCTAAAACCCTAAACCCTAAACCCTAAGCCATACCGCAAAGCCTTACGTGGAGCCTGCGGAGCCTACGTTCTAAGTGCAGGGCCCCATAGAAAAATGTGGCCAGCAACCCTGAAGAAGTCACTTGCAAAGAGTCCGGCGACACCCTGGGAAGCTGGAAGTATTTAGAACACTTCTGTTTAGGGTTTAGGGTCTAGAGTTGTAGGGCATTGTAGGGTTTAGGGTTGCAGGGTTTGAGGTTTAGGGTTGTTTAGGGTAACTTGTCAGCCCCCAGCCCTCCCCCCCCACGGGAGCGGATGACATATGAATGCGTTCATGCCTGGGTGTGCATGGGTGAGCAGCTTGCCTTAGCCGGGGCGCGTCTAGTAGCTGTCATATTCGCATCAGGAGCCCTGTAGAAGCTGAGGAGAACCCCCGAATTGAGGGCAGGAGGACTCCTCACTTCACTTCCTTATTCGGGCTCCCGACTCTGCAAAAGAGCCTATTGTTGAAGCGGGGATCACGTGACGGAACCCTGAAAAAGGCAGGCGTACCCATGGGCCCCTAAGTAGTTCCTTTTTGTGGTTTATATTTAGAATCCTATAAGGTAATCCCAAAAAGGAACTACTTAGGGGCCTGTGGGTAACCCTGTGCTTAGCCACGAGCTTCGGGCAGGCAGCCGCTGGTCACTCGCAGACTTAACTTTCGCAACGGAGGCCGAGATCTCAGATTAATAGAGGGGCGTTAATAATTGCCGATACTATTTTGGGGTCTCCTGATCATATTTTTTTAGTATAATATGATCACATTTTTTAGTATAATATACCTCAGAACCCGGTTCTTGTTATTAAGGCGCCTATATTGCAGTGCTTACGGGTTACAGTCACTCCCCAAGCTTCTAAAGTGTTACAAGTTAAAGTTGAAATCCCTGCAGGGCTTTGGGCTTAGGGTTTAGGGCTTTGGGTTTAGGGTTTAGGGCTTTGGGTTTAGGGTTTAGCCAGCCGTAAGCCCTGCAGCTGGAATCCCTGCATTCCCCAAAGCCTCCACCTTTAAAGCGCCTGCTCTTTGCTCTCTTTTCTTGACAGTCCCCAAAGCCGAAGACACGGCCAGCCATACGACTTGAACAAAAATCATTGATTATAGGTGTTCTTCACCCCGAAAAGAGCGCTAAAGCTCCCAACCCTCTTAGGTTTAGGGTTTCGTAAATCTTAAAGCCCCCACCCTAAACTTTAACCTAAAGCACACCAAACCCCACAGCCCGAAATCGCCGAGACGTGAGCTTAGAAGACCCTCACTCATGACGCCTTTCGCCTCAAACACTTTCAAGCGCGGGAACTACACCCAACCTCCTAAATCCCACAAACCCTGTCGCAATCCCTATGCTGCCGAACACCGATCCCTAAAAGACAAAGCGCGCAATCGAGGTGCTGGCCCTGTGCTCATGAACCCTAAACCCTAAACCTAAATGACCCTGAAGTCAACTGTACTCACGAACTAGACCTTAAAACTCCGACAAGACCACCCGAATCCAACATTAATCCCTTTGACCCTAAACCCTAAGCCCTTATGAACCCTAAACCCTAGACCCTAAACCCTAACCC